CCTCATCATTTGGTGGAATTATAAACAGGATGACTCCAAGTTCCCTTCCGCTGCCGTAGGCACATTTCTCTTCAAAGACTTAAAATACCGCCACGTTTAAAGAAGCCTCTGAAGAAGTGATGTCTCTGGCCTTCTTTCTCCCCAACACAGCGAACAATCTGAGACCAGCACATTCTTTCATTCATTCACTCATTCATTCATTCATTCATTCATTCATTCACGTAAGCTTTTTTTGTGTGTGTTGAACACCAAAGGAGTTCTAAGGTTGAGTACAGGGTCTCTGTGTCAGAGGAGCTCATATCCTTTCGGGTGGGCATGCAAAGAAATAACGAGTTACAGAAGAGCATGAAGTGTGTAAGGGCCAGGATAGGTTTGTGCACAGAATGCTAGGGAGAGGTAGCTCACCCAACCTCGGGGGCATGAATCAGGAGAAGCTTCCTGAAGAAACTGCCCCCTGGTATGGATCTTAGAATAGGCATTAGCCAGATGAAGAAAGGAGAAAAGTTGCTGTAGGCAGAGGAGATGAAATATGGGAGGGAAGGCAAAGGCAGTTTGTGAGAGCAAAGAACTTTGGGTAAAATGCCAGAAATTCTGTTCAGTAGGAATGGAAAGTCAGCAAATTAGGATCCATGAGGTCTGAGAGAAAGACTGGGCTTGGTCTTAGAGGATCCGGTAGGTTATACAAAAGACTTTTATCGTGGAGGCCACGAAGAGTCAATGTTGGGGTTTAATCAAGAATAAAGAACATCTTTTATTCTGTGGTGGTGACATGGAGAATAAAGCAGTATTTGGAGGTTATTGTACAAATTAATCCAGGTGAGATAAGGAACTGAGGCATCTCAGAGCACAGAAATACATGCTGTACCGCAATGTTCATCGCCTACTGTCGAATGTCCCTATGAGCTAAATTCTTGAGAAAAATCTCAAAGTACAACTTTACCGTTACTTTTTATTTATTTACATTCTCTTCAATAACCTGCACTTTCTTACCTTAACTGAGTTTAACCAGCCTAGGTCATGTTACTATTTTTCTTTCTGTTCAATTTTAAGCACTCAAGAAAGCCTTTTTTTCCTCTTGGTCTTCTCTACAATTATCCTTCCAATGATCATTGATTTAAATGTCTGTTAAGGAACATATATAAAACTTATTTAACATCAACTTTCTAATTTGGCAACATTTAACATGCAGATAAAAATGCACTTTCTGAAATCTCATCTCTTTATACATCTACCAGGCCTATCCCAAAAGAGATTTCTGGAATTACTATGTCAGTGGGCAGTTCACATTCGAGAAAGTAACTCAGATACTTCATACGAAGTTACCTTTATAGAAAATATAAAGGGTATATTCTAAAAAGAGCCTCTGATTAAATTTTTATCAACTATTTGAAGAATCAACAGACCAGCCAAGATAATTTCCCATCTAGAAAGACTAAAAGAAGAATTATATATGTATATTTGCAATTTCATATTACCCAAAATAAGAAAAAATTTCAGTTCTTGAGTTGCTATTAGTCTTATTAACATCTGAGATTAATAAGATTCAGCCAGAGAGAGGAGCAGGCCAAGTACAGGATAGCAGCTCTTGAGAAAGAACAACTCTCACTTTCATCTCGTACCAAGGTTTTGTTACCCTTTTCTGCGTTACTAATCAGTGCGGTGTCAGCAATCCCAAGCTGGGGCGAATGACTTTTTATTCACTACAGACAGACTGACAGACGGACAGACTGACAGACAGACAGAGACACACACACACACACACACACACACACACACACGCACACGCCTCTCTAGCCTATTTTCAAGTTTTTTGTGCACTTCCATCCACCCTTCCAGCTGCCCTTGGCCTCTGGGCCCTGCCTCTCCTCTCCCAGCTACTCACAGAGTCTGCGTGCTGGACGGCAGGCTGGGGATGCGCTGGATATCCTTGCAGGTGACTCTGAAGTCGTCCTCCTGGTGGCACTCGCAGGGCGAAGAAGGGCACCCTTTACCCCCCAGGCTCCTTGGCAGGGCGAGGAGCAGCACCAGCTGCAGCAAGGGCGTCGGCCTCATTTTCCACGGGTCGCCCAGGCTATCTCATCCTCCACGACCGTCTCAGCCCTCTGCGTCTTGGGTTCCGCCGGCTGGAGGAGAGAGGGTGGGGTGGGAGAAGAGAGGACTCGTTGGGGTTGCGATCTCAGCACCAAAGAGGAGGCTGGAGAGGGGACAGAAGAGGCTCTTAAGTGTTCCGTTTCCCTAGGTAACTTTACGCCCAAACAAGCCTATTGGCTTTACTTCCCTTGCCCGGAGCCGCGCAGCCCGCTCCGTCTGTTCCCGGACACCTAACACCGGTCCCGGCGGGCCCCTCCGCTTTCCAACCAGCCCCACGCGTTCCCTTCTCCCATTAGTCCCCTCCAAAGCCCAGTTTTGGCGCTCCCTCCTTTCCTGTCTCTAAACCCCACGGGCCACCTGTCCCCGTGGGTAGCCTACAAACGCTGTCTGCCGGGACACCCTGCACGCACTCTCTATCCCGAGAAAGTCCCCGCGGAATGGACTGTCCAGGGCGGACGGGGATCCTGCAGAACTTCAGCTCCTCCTGGCCTAATACGTACGTCTCCGCTGACGCCAGCCCCAGGTGCGGCAGAGGCCGGGGTGCGACACCCCTGGCGGATCCTTGCTGCTCCCAGACTTCAGCCCAAACCCGGACCGCTGGGCGCCAGCGACCACACTCGCGCAGAAATCTCGGCGAGGAGTCAGCCCCCTGGCGGCGAGGCTGGTGGGGACCTAGACTCTGGGGCCATCTGCTGGGCAGAATCGGGAACCGCAGAAACTGTTCTGGCGCCTGGAGGAAACGCTGAATTTAGCTTTGCGATATGAATTCGAAGATGGCGGGTAAATTCTGCTCCGCCCAGGAATTTTATTGAGCCATATATCTTCCCTTCCCCCCCACCTCCGAGAAGAAGGGGAGAGAAAGAATACTTAAGTGGCACACGATCACCTACTCATCATTCTTCACACAGTAGCCAAAAAATAATAATTTAAAATATAAATCATATTGTGCCAATTTCCCTCTTAAAGGCCTTCAATTGCTTACTAATTCTTCTTGGAATAAAAAGACTATCATCTCCTCATATACTGTATGTTTCCATTTATATGAATTTCTGGAACAGGAGGGAAAAGCTATGGTGATAGAAATCAGATTAATGTTTAGAGAAGACGAAATAAAAAACAGGAGAGAACTCGCAGGGGTTATGGAAATGTTCTATATGTTAATTCGACTGGAGATAAGTGAATGTTTTCTTTTATTAAAATTTATTGAGCTGTACACTTAAAATATGTATGTTGTAATGCTTACAGTGGCTTTATTCTTAATCCAAACTGGAAGCAATCCAAATGTACCTCAGCGAGGCAATGGATAAACAAACAGTGGCACGTGCATACACCCGGGAATACTATTCCGCAATAAAAAAAAAAAAGAAATAATTTTAAAAAGAAAAGTACATATAAATTCTAGAAGCCAAAGTTTGCTAATCCCTGTTCATCAAGATCCCGCTCTTACCATTCTGTACAATCTTATTTCACAATATGCTCCCCTGTTCTCTACGTTCAGCCACTTTGCTAGACCCGAAACAAAACTAGTTTATGGTCACCTCTGAGCTACTTGCAATGACTGAACTCTGTGCCTGGAACACTTTGTCCCCAGATCTTTGCATTATTCAAGTCTTAGTTTAAACATGACTTTTTCAGGACGGATTTCTCTGAAATTCCTGTCTAAAGTAATGATCCCCCATCATAATACCTTGTTTAACTGTCTCCAAAGCATTTATCGTTGATTATTATTACTGATTAATTTACTCATTTATTGCCTGTCTCTTGCTGCTCTCTCATCCCTATCAGGATATAAACTTCATGAAAACAGAAACCCTGCTGATTTTTTTTTTTTTTTTTGGCACTGTATTGCTGACACCAAGAACAATGCTTAGCTCAGAGTTGGTAAAGAATAAATTTTAAATGAGTGTGTTACCAGACCAAAGTCTGTGTGCCCAATGCTTTGAAAGGTGAAAACTCCAACTGTCAGGGTTTGGAATAAGGAAAGGTTTATTGATTGAGATAGAGAAAGTACCAACTGTGTTGCCTCAAATCTATCTTGCTCACTGGACCAGGCCAAAAGGTTTTAAGGGCTGAGGGGCGACAGGTAGGGTGAAGTGCTGGTGGGACAATTTTAATGGGAGGATCTTGGAACTTGGCCTTTTATGGTAAAGGGGTGTCAGCACTGGATCTCTCTTGGACAATGAACTCTTGGCTTCTGAGACGGTTCTGGTATTCGAGTTCCAGTTATGCCCTCGTCCTTTGGTTCAGTGTGTGTGTGTGTGTGTGTGTGTGTAGGGGAGGGAATTATGCTTTGGTTCCAGGTGCTGCTGGAGGCCAAAATTCTCTCTTCTGTGCATGCTTTGGCTATGTGACTTGTGGCTTCGGTCTGCTATCTCTGAAAAACAAACTCGGTACCTCATCAAACAGAATAGAACCATTTTGAGCTGGTTTTGTGGTTATAGTCAAACAGGTTTGCAATGCTTATGTCAGTTACTCATTGCAGCATAATCAATAACCCCAAAATGTAGAAGCTTAAAACAACATTTATTATCTTGGAATTTCTGTGGGGGAATTTAGGAGTGGCTTAACTAAATGCTCTGGTTCATGATCTATTTGAGGTTGTAAACAAAATGACAACCAGGGCTGCAGTTATCCAATAGCTTGGCTGCAATCTCACTAAATGCACTTATTTGGTCCAGTAGCTGTTTTGTAGATCCCAACAGATGAATTACATAGATGAATTGTGTTGTCCGAGAATAAGCAGTTTTACTTTTTCTTTTCCATTCTGGGTGATTTTCATATCTTTTTCTTATCTGATTGCACAGGTTATAACCTCCAGACAATTTTGAATGGAAAGAGAAAAGGCAGACATCTTCATCTTGCTCTTAACATAGGGGGAAATAATTTTTTCATCATTAAATATACTCTTACTTACACAGTTTCCGTAGATGCTTTTTATCAGGTTGAGGAGGTGTTTTGTCGATTTCTCATCTGCTTAGAGTTTTTAATCAGGACTGGGTGTTAGGTTTTGTTAAATTATTTTTCTACATCTATTGAGATGTGTCAGAAATTTTCTTTTCAGTTATTAAGATGGGGAATCACAGTAATTGATTTTTGAATGTTAAACCCCTTTTGCATTCCAGGAATAAATCCCACTTGATCCTGACGTATTAAGTTTTTTGTATTCTTGGATTAAATTTGCTAAAATTTTGTTTAGATGTTTTGCACAGATGTTCACAAGGGATAATGGCCTGTTATGTTCTTCTCTGTAATGTTTTTGTTTGGTTTTTGTATTGTGATAATTCTGCTACCATAGAATGAGTTAGAGAATATTCTCTCCTCTTTAAATTTCTATAAGAGTTTGTATAAGAATCAATATTATTTCTTTTTTATTTGGTAGAAGTCACCAGTGAAGCCATCTGAACCCTGAAGTTTACTTGTTGAAAGGTTTTTAACTACAATTTCGAAAAATAGATGTAGAGGTGTTTATTGTGACCTCTTTGTGTCTATATATTTAAAGTGCAAATAAATAGCCTAGAGTTGGGTTATGCCTTCTGTCTTCCTTTCTTTCTCTTTTCTAGGGTACAAAGTTTCCTTTAAATACTTCTTTGGGGCGGGGGAGGGGTCACCATACTCCTACGGAATCGTAGGTCTTTTACTTTGTTACACGCATCGTGCCATGAACGCACAGGGATGGGTTCCCGCAGAGCAGGTCTCTCTCCATTGGCTCTCGCGCGGTGAGCTGCTCTGGGCGGGGCAGGCTGGCGCCTCAGTTGAGCCCGGCACTTTTCTCTCTTCTTTTTTTCGTTATTTTCCTTCATACTTTTCAGGAAGCTCCCTCGGCTCTCAGAGCGCTTGATGTGCTTACTTCTCTTGGCAAGAACCTTGCCCTTAACTTGTTTGTTTACAATGCCAGCCGCAGGCGGGTAACACTGTAGACAGCTCCAACTTTGCCACGGTGAACAGTGGTGGGGCTTTCCTTTTAAACAGTGCCCATCCCCTAGATGTCTGCGACATCACCTTTCTTGTAGATTCTCACGCATGCGGCCAAAGGAGCAACTCCACGTTTTCTGAAAGGCCTGGAGAACACAGAGTGGGAGCCTCCTCCCCGCTTTGTGTTGGTCATTTTGGCGAATTACTGGAAGATGACGTTTTCGGCCATCAGGACGTTATGTTTTCAGTCTGACAACCTTTGCCTTTTATTTGGATTGCATAGATCATGTACATTTGATGGCATGATCGATATTAGTTTAAGTTAGTAATCTTACTACTAGTTTTATATTTGTCCCACTTGTTTTTTTGATGGCTTTTATTTTAAACCTCTTTGAGTTAATTCAGGAATTTTTATGATTCCATTTTATCATCTTCGTTGACTCTTAATTATAAGTCTTTGGTTATTATAGTGGTTGCTTCAGGGTTTTTACTATACATTTTAAATGATCAGAGGCTACCTTCAGTGGATATTACGTTACTGTAAGTGTGTTTTAAGAACCCTACAAAAGTATTACTTCCATCTCTTCTCTCCTGGCCTTTATGCTTCTGTCGCCATATATTTTACCTATACATAAGTTATAAACTCTATAAAACATTGTTCTTATCTTCATTAAGGTAGCCAATTATCTTTTAAAGAAATTTAAATCGGAAGAAAAGACTCACATATTTTTCAATTAGTTATTCTTTCTGGTCTTCGTTCCTTGGTGTAGATCTATATTTTCTACTGGTGTCACTTTCATTAACATTTCTTGTAGTCCAGGTCTGCTGGTTATAAATTATTACATCTTGTTTTGTGTCCGAAAAAGTGTTAATTTTGCCTTCATTTTTAAAGGATATCATTACTAGGTACGAAATTAGAGACTGAAAGTAGTTTTTCCTTTCAGGACTAAAAAAATATTGGACCACTCTCTTGTTACTTGCTTTGTTTCCAAGGGCAAACCTCTCGTAATTTCCTTTTATCTTTTGTAACATGCATTTTTTTCTCCCTCAGGTTCTTTTGTTATCACTGATTGAGAGTCATTTGATTATCATGTACCTTGATGTACTTTTCTTCATACTTTTTGTGCAGTATTTTGAGGTTCTTGGATTTGTGCGTTTATGGTTTTCATCAAATTTGGAAATTTTTAGCCATTATTTATCATATATATTTTTTCTGTTCTCTTATCTCTCTTGACTCTTTTGGGGATTCCAATTATTACACTTATAGTAGGCTAATTAAAGTTGTCTAAGAAAGAACTCATTAATGCTTTTTGCATTAAAAAATTTTCTTCGGCTCTATTGTTCATTTTGGATCATTTCTTTTGCCATGTCTCCAAATTCAGTGTTCTTTTATTTTTCTCTGAAATAGTTAATCTGCCACTAATCCCATCGGTATATGTTTTATATCAGATGAAATTTTGATATTAAGAAGTTCAGTTTGGGTCTTTTTCATATTTTCCGTCTCTATGTAACTTTTTGAACATCTAAAAGACAGTAACTATTTCCATGTCTGTGTTAGTTTCCTACGGCTGTTGTAACAAGCTGCCATTTACTTGATGGTTTAAAAGGACAGAAATTAATTTGCTCACAGTCTGAAGTCCCAAATCAAGGTGTTGGCAGGAGTGTGCTTTCTCTGAAGACTCTAGGGGAAATTGCTTCCGTGCCTCTTTCTAGCTTCTAATAGTTGCCAGCAGTC